GAACGTTCTAGAATATCTTCATTTTTCATCAATCTGAAAATAGAACAGGAAATATATGATGTGTTGGCAATCCACCGTAGTGGGTTAAGCGGCCTACTTGTCTGCATTTAAAATATAACTTTTAATTTATACTTATCTTTAAACACACATTTATAAAAAAAAATATTTTTGACCTAAATTTAAAATATTTTTATTTTTTAATTACACATTCTCCAAAAATTCACTAATCACAAAATCAAAATTTCTTAATAATAACTATCGAACAGGGGCTAAGGTTCATTTTCACGACGTTTTGATTGGTTTATAAATCACAAACATTAGGGCCTCTTAAATAAATGTACTTTCGAGTATATATTAACTCACATTTGATGAGAAAACTGCACTGACTTGTGCTCCTATCAATGCCATCAATAAGAATTGAAGTAATTGAAGTCGAAGAATAGACAGCAAAAGGGCGAGTATGATTGAGAATCAGTGATTCACCGACTAAATACAATAAACAAAGCAAAATGAGCCATCCTAGTTCATTGAGTATTCTACCTTGTGCAACACAAAAAATTCCGTGGCCAGCCATGCTCAAAAAATCTTCTTATGTCAAGCCGGGCTAATTTTGGTCATCAAACTTTTATTAAAAAAGCCAAAGAATTAAAAAAACAAAAAAAGTAATCCATTAATTTTTTTCGTAAAAAATGAATACACCTAGGCATGTAAACGAGTCTAGTCGAAGCTCGAACATGACTCAGTTAAAAAATGACTTGATTTTTCTTTTTGTTCGAGTTAAGCTCGACTAAAAAATTTAGGCTCGACTCGAGCTTATGACTCAAGCCTCATTGAGTCTCACCAGATATTATTAGTATCTTTTTTTTAAATTATGACAGCTAACATGGGCCGATGCCCAAAACTGAAGCTCGGCTCGACTCAGAGCGACAAGTCTTGTTGCTTTTCCCAAGTCGAGCCACGAGCTACTCGAGCCACGTTGACATCCTAGACAATCTTTCCACAACCCTCGTTCGATATGACTTAAATGTCCCCGGCGCATTCTATTCATGATTCTTTTTTACTCTTTATTTCTTTCTTTTTCAACCCTAACAGAAATTTGCAAAAGGATTTTGGAAACTCTCTGCTATTTCTGTGATCCGAAACAAGCCAACATTCTTGTTCTTTCAAGGAATTCAAACTCAATTGGTGAGTGTACGCTTTTCCATGTATTTTTCTGAGTTCTGACCGTCTCAACTTATATACTTGAATCTGCAAGAGTAAGGTGATAAAATTTCGAAGGTGCGATTTTTTTAAGCATTAGCAATTAATTTGTGAATCTGTGAATACCTAAGTGTAATGGAAGAATTATGTGGAGTGAATACTGTGAATAATGTAAGACATTTGTGAATTTGACTGGTACTGTTGAAACCCGTGTAATTATTAAATGGAATTGACTGTTTATGCAAATTCCTGTGCTTTAGTTAAATGAAACTGAATGAAATCACTGCTTCTTCCAATTTAAATTTATGCTTGAGTGAAATATATCTGCTTTCACTGAAAGATTTTGGCCTTTCAAATATAGTTTGTGTACTGAAATTGGAAACAAGGTTAAACGGGCCATTTTAGACGGGCCATTAGGCATCCTAAAGTAGTCACCTAATTTTTTTTCTGAATTTTTATTTTCTTGATGAAGAATTTTAGAATGAATGAAAAGGCTTTGAACCAGACTTCATTTTTTTCAGTAGCTAATTTTTTTAACAACAATCAGGTATGAATAATTAATTCATCCTCTTATGTAGTTAGAGAATAGAGGTAATAACTGCAAGCAAAAGAAGCTATAATAAGAGGAGGAAAATGGTGGTCCGCTTGCGGCTTTCAAGGTTTGGATGCAGAAACAAGCCATTCTACCGAGTCATGGCAGCTGATAGTATATCTCCCAGAGATGGCAAGCATTTGGAAGTTTTGGGCTACTACAATCCCCTCCCTGGTATATCCTTCAACACATAATGACGCGGGCATTAATGTGGAAGATATGTTTTAAAGCATTTGTATACTTACTGATGTGTGCAATTTTGTTTCTCTCTCTAAGCTAACTGCATCTGGGAATTTTAGGGCCTTTTGTCTGCTAATTGTTTCTAATTTATCTAACTATGCAGGTCAAGATGACGGTAAAAGAATGGGTCTTAATTTTGACAGAATGAAGTAAGTGGCATAGAAATGTTAATTTCAATTTCAGGTTGATTTTTATGGAAACTTTACTGTCTCGTAACTGTCATATAATAAAATCTATTTTTTCACCGGGTTTTGATATTATATTGTTATGCGTGGAGCAATGTAATGAGATGTCAGATAAAACATTTGATTTATGTGTTCATCAACTGTAAGTTTGTAAGAGAAACTGTTATTGTAACTCGTAGATTATGATTGCATTTTGTTTGTAGAAACTTTATGGAACCAATCTCTGAGTAAGGATTCTCAAGGAATTCAAGGAGAAAACTTAGTTTATGCATATGTACTAATGCTAGCTAATTTTATTCACGCCATCTTAAATTGTTGCTGAGGATTTCTAGTTCGTTTTTCTGTTAAATTTATTTAATAACCAAAAAATGAAATCAGGATACTTCTTATTATCTGACAAGGAATTTTAACTTCTTTCTGATTGATGCGCTGTCATTAATTCTTATTCTTAGACTGATTTTGGTTTCTGTGACGTAGAATTTTTAGTTCTCAATATTATCCACTGTGTAATCCCTCTTTTTCCAGCACCTTTCTGTAGTTACATTTGGGCTTTAGCACTCCTAGTAACATGAAATAGGTGTGAACTAGTCCATATGATGAGAATGCTTTAACTTTTAAGTGCTCTTTACCAATTAGTATTCCATCCAAACCTTGTAATCCTCAAATGATCTCACTAACCTACTGTGATAGCGGCAGGAATACACACACTTTAAGTGGTTCTTGCCACAATGTCGGATTAAAAGATCTAGGTGAGACAACTAACGCAAAATGCTTACACTTATCTTATGAAGTAGTAATGTATTAGTGCACCCAAAGCATGCGAGGTGCAGCATCTTTCTTCTTAGCTTATCAGTTATAACCAGAAAAGGAAAAAGGATGAGTATTAGAAAAATGCGTCACTCGTTTCTTTTCCATGATTCAGTTTTCCAAATATTTCCCATATTTCAAATTTCGCATGCTTGATTGAACCTTTTGCTTGCTTCATCTGGCTCTAAACATGTGCTTGGTTTTTCTCCGTGGCATTTTGTTTGACAAAGTCCAAAATGTATTGACCTTCTAAATTATTCGCATGATACTTCTATAAGTTAGATTGTAAATTTTGGGGATTTGGTTCTCTGAAGTTGTACATTACTTTTGGCTATTTCATTCTGCCAAATGAAATATTGAAGAGATATTATTTTATTTAGCCCGCGTTTGAACCCCATTAAATTTATTTTACATTTTTCTCTATCTTCTTTTTAATCACGCATTCTCCAATAAAATAATATTATACATAAACAAAACTTTTCTTTCTTTTTCAACCACATATTCTCCAAAAATACACTATTCCAAAAATTATAACATCAAAGAATGGGGGCCAAATGGGGGCTTAGTTTTCAATTTTGATACTTATTTTAGGAAACATAATTAGGGTTTGATTTCATGGATTTTATAGTATTTTCCTACTTTATATTGGACTAGTTTAAACCCTATATAAAGGGGGCTTTGACATTGTAATAGATACAATTTTGATAATTAGATAATCTTAAATTGTGCTTCCATCTGTCTAATTTCTCTCCCTACTATCTCCTCCCTCTTCTTCATCTTTTCCCCTCTCTCTTCTTATCTCTCCTTTTCCCTTCTATAATTGCTTGATTGCATCCTATGTCAATTGCTTATCTATTCCACATCATCCGAGATGCAAAATCAGTTGGCTAGGAAAAAGATCAGGCGCTTCTTAGTCGTGATGCTTGAAAATCCTAAATAATTTCCTATTGTACTCTTAGTGGAGTGTACAAGTTTTCTTTTATTGTTTTCTTCTCTTATGTATGTTAATTGTGCAGATACTGGCTTTCAGTTGGAGCACAACCTTCAGAACCTGTGCAACGCCTTCTTTTCCGAGCAGGCTTGTTGCCCCCACCGCCAATGCTAGCAATGGGAAGAAAAGGTGGCCCACGAGACACACGTCCAGTTGATCCTATGACTGGGCATGTTTTGACACCTGAAAAAACAAACGGCGGGAAATTAAAAGGGGTCACTGAAGGCGATGAAGCTGACCCGGAAGAAATTTCAAATAGTTAATGAATTATACTCCTCAATTCAGTTTCTAATGGCTTGCAGTTGTAACTTTGAATTATGAAATCAAAGAAAATATTCAAAATGGTAGGACTCTTTAAGATAGAAACTGCTGCTACTTTTTGTGCATTGCAATAATTTCCACATTTTCAAAATCAATTGACACTTTTCACATTAGACATGGCGTCAATGTATGCATGTATGTGTGTGTGTGATAAGAGTAAGAGCCCATTTGAGAAGGCTTTTGTTTTTGCTTTTGCTCCTACTTATTATAGAAAGATTTTTTGAGGAAGTTATCTTATGTCAGTTGTATTTAAAAGTTCTTCTAACTCAACAAAACACTTTCAAAATATTATCTAAATACGTTAAAATGCAACTTTTAATCTTAGAAACAACTTTTAATTTTTATTTTTTTTAAAAGTTTTGTCAAATGGGTTCTAAGAGCGGGAAATTTATCTCTTGTTTGGTGCAGTTATGTTTCGTTTCCATCCTCCATACCGACACAAGGGTCGGACCATTAGCATAATTATTTGTGCAACTCTTGCAACCTCCCAAAGCTCTTGGATTTGATTTAAATATCACGTGTTGTTCCCCAACGAATCAATTCATTTGCTGCGGTGTATCACTTGCACGGATGAACTAGGATCGAGCACGGTTGATTTGATGGCATCATCATGTTTAAATTTGAGATTCTGCCCATACGAGAAAGAGATGCTATAGGTACATATTTTTTTTAACAGATTTTATATAGAAAACACAGCTGTCTCATAGGGATTGACTGCTACTAAAAATAGTTTTTGACGACATCAAATCACAGGAAAACAAATATCTTTTCCTTGTATAAAATTTGGTAAAAAAATCTGTACCTGCAGAATAATTCTATACGAGAATAATGGGAGTGTGAGAACAAGTGCACTGAATAATGAATAATTTTTAATTTTTTTCTTTAAAGCTGAAAAGTTTTGTTTTCAATTTAATGACCCTTATTTTATTAGGGAAAAAATTTGATCATGTTTTTGAGGTTTCTACTTTTAATCTTCTTAAAACTTGGATGGTTTCCCTTGTCTAAATTTTTCATAATTAGACAACGGACATGAAATATAGATCGTTACCTATTTAACATCATATACAACAAAAGTCTTTCTATTTAGATGCTTGTTGGATTGCAATCCATGGAACGCATTGGAGATACTCAAATGACTGGATGAATAAATTCTTGAATTTAGATGATTAACTATTGACTCGTATGCTTGAAGTGTCCATTGGAAATTGTTCAAACAATGTAGATAATTGAAGACTCACAATGTTTTGGATGCTTTCTATGGACAAATCCTGAAAGATCAGACCAAGAAATGCTCGGGAGGTGGCGGAACGCTGCCTAAGCAACCCTGTTAACAGGTCCAATATTAAATTTACATTTTTGCGTAGTGATGGCAATTTACCTCGCCCCGAATGGGGCAAAAAAGCTTGCCCCGTCGCGGGCAGGGCGTAAATGGTTGCCTTGTCGTGGGGCGCGTGAACTCTTTTTTTTTTTTTT